GAAATAGAAATAGAAATAATAGAAATAGAAATAGAAATAATAGAAATAGAAATAGAAATAGAAATAGAAATAGAATGGAATAAAATATAGAATAGAATAGAATAGAGAAAAGAATAGAAATAATAGAATAGAGAATAGAATAGAATAGAATAGAGAATAGAATAGAATAGAAGAAATCAGAATAGAATAGGAAAGAATAGAATAGAATAGGAAAAATAGGATGGGATGGGATGGGATGGGACCGAAATGGATACTTGTGCACAGGAAGCAACGATAAACTTTCTCCTGCTTTGAACTTGATGAATGCTCCTGGTTATTTGCGCCCGACAATTTTTTTATCATATCAGGGTGGTTTTTTTTTTTTAAAAAAAAAAAGATCAGTATGTTACCTTGATATTAAAGAGCCAGGGTTTCATGGCATCCACTTCTGATTCTCCTTTGCTGAGGTCGTACACCGCGAGGTATAGAGCTCTCTGAGTCATAAAGTGGGGATGAGCGCTATAGAATTCTTCCTGACCTACCAAGAGCAAACACAGCAGTAATTGGCAGATGGCATCTATGCCCACGCTTGCTCTCCATGACCCCCGATTCTCACCAAAGAGGAAAGAGAATTTGAACAAGGAGTTTAAATCGTTTCGTTTTGTTCATAAACAAGAACAAAATGTTGCAGAGCGCAAGGAAACAGTCGGTTTTTCCCAATTTGCTCTCTCACACACAAAAGATACACGAGGAACATGGTTAAAACGGAAAGTTCCCTCAAACTTTAGAAGTTTAGAAAAACAAAGCTGCGTTCCTGTAGGGACAAGGGTGTCAAACCGGTAGCCCGCAGGCTGGGTGCGCCGTGCGCGGGCCATGCCCACCCCAGCTTTGCGAAAGGGAGAAAACGTCGCGATACGTCACATTACGGCAACGTGAGGCCGCAATTTTGAGAGCCATGCTGTCGGAGAAGAACAGGCAGCATCTGAGGGAGGAGTCAAGAGAGGAATAAGCCTGGAATCTGTGTGTTGTCACAAGTGCAACCTCTCTTGAATTCCACTGACTCTCAATTTGCACCAATTCAATGCTATCTCTTAGCTGACTAGACTCTCTGTTAGACGACTGGATAAGCAATAAATCAGTTTAACTGCAACTTACTATGTGATTCTGATTCTTAGAGGCCAAGAGTTCCCCTATTCTAATACTGTTATATCAGTGGTGAAATCTAAAAAAAAAAATTCCTACCACTTCTGTGGGTGTGGCTTGGTGGTGGGGCCATGTGACTGGGTGGGCGTGGCTATATAGTCATGTGACTGGAGGGGTCAGAAGACAGAAATTCAATATGAAGGAAGTATATGTAATGATTGTGGAAGAAATGCACGAAATGTATTCGTAACCAGTCGACACGCTTTCTACAAGATGTAATTTTTTGTGTTTTTTGTTTCATTAAAACAATAAAAAAACTTTTTTAAAAAAAGACAGAAATTCACTTTAACAATGTCCTGCTGGAGCAGGGGGTTGGGCTAGATGACCTCCAGGTCCCTTCCAGCCCTGGATTGCTGCGCTCTTTCAAGGTATACTTTGTTCCTTCCTTCCTCCCTCCCTCCCTCCCTTATTCCCTTTCTCTTTCTCCTTCCTGATGGCACAGTGGTGAGAATGCAGTACTGCAGGCTGACTCTGCACAGTGCCAGGAGTTCGATCCTGACCGGCTCAAGGTTGACTCAGCCTTCTGTCCTTCTGAGGTCGGCGAAATGAGGACCCAGATTGTTGGGGGGGGGGAGCAGCGCAACGTGCCGACTCTGTAAACCGGTTAGAGAGGGCTATGAAGTGCTACGAAGCGGTATAGAAGTGCGATCGCGCTTGCTATCCTCATAACCGTTTTTGCGTTTGTTCCCCCCCCCCCCGCCACACGGGCGTGAAAAATACCTGCAAAATCCCAGACATTTAAAACGGTATCTTTCTTGATTTTGCCTTTTCGGGGGATCTTCCAATCGTTCACATCGATTCCGATGGTCGGCTTTTGAGGTCCCACATCTGGCCGCCTGCATTTCATGAGCTGTTGCAACAAGGTTGTTTTACCGCTGCCGGCGTTTCCAACAACCATGAGCTTCATTCTATGGTAGGGGACCGCTTTCTTTAAGCGCTGTTGGAGGAACCTGGCGAAAAAGGGGCGGGAAGGCTCGTTTTAATTACACAATTGCTTTTTAAAAAAAAAAATACCGTATTTTTCAGAGTATAAGATGCACTACCCCCCACCCCCGAAAGAGGCTGAAAATTTGGGTGCGTCTTATACTCCAGATGTACCACCAGCCTCCCCGCATCCTCTTCCTGGCTGCAGAGATTGCCACAAACAATGGATTGCGTTTTTGGAGCTCCGCGCCTCGCGTTTTCAGCCTCCAAATGCGCCAGTTGGACTAGAAGACCTCTAAGGTCCCTTCCAACTCTGTTATTCTGCTATTAGCCATGTTTTTTTTTTGAGTGAAAATAGCCACCTAAAACCATAGTCAAGAGAATGGTCAAGAGAACTCACCGGATAATATCCCTTGCTTTGTCTCCCACATGTTTAAAATCTAAATTAAGATGTAATCCTTCCAAAGGAAGATCCCATATATTCAACAATTTCCCCATTTCATCTGGAAAACACCGTATGGCTGGATTGTAACTAACATCAAACGATGTCAAGTTTTCCAGAAATCCAATGTCAGGAGGGATCTAGAGACAAAAGAAGAAGATTTATATATATATATTCAGAATAGAAATGCTAATCTATCACTTATCAATGTGAAGCGGGATATAAGTCTAATGCTATTGCTATTGCTAATAAGAGAGGAAGGAAGGAAGGAAGGAAGGAAGGAAGGAAGGAAGNTGGGCCATTCCTCCTCCACCTGTGGCCTTACTCCCAAATGGACCCCTGTTCTTTAGCTGTTCCCTTCGTCTGGCAATTCTGCGCATGCGCCCACTGGGAACAGGCTCCAGCTGTTCTTCTGCCTCACTGGGGTCTGACTCCGGAGGGCGAAAAACAGCCCAACGCGCAAGGGTTGCAGTAGTTTGAATGCAGTATTGCAGGCTAACTGTGCCCATAGCCAGGAGTTCGATCCTGACCGGCTCACGGTTGACTCAGCCTTCCATTCTTCCAAGGTCGGTAAAATGAGGAGCCAGATTGACGATAGGCTGACTCTGTAAACTGCTTAGGGAGGGCTGTAAAGCGGCATATAAGTCTAAGTGCTATTTATACTTGTATATTGAAGCGAAATGGCTTACTTTGAAATCCAGGCATTCTTTGATGATGATTTGTCGGAGTTTAGCCATGGCCTCCGACTCTTCTGTGGCATTCACAAAGTGATAGTCGTGGATTTTAGGAAACCCCTTCTGATTCATCAGCTCCTTGGTGATTTTGCTGATGGAAGCTCTACGCTGCTTCTCGTTAGCGATGTCTAAATGAGTCCCAATGAGAATCACAGGGGAGAAGGAGGCTCGGGTCTGTAAAACAGGAGTTGCAAAGTTCTCGATTAAGGCTCTTCTCCAACAATCATCCTTTTATGGGCAGTTGGTTTTATTATTATCAACCCTTTATTATCATCAATCCTAGCCACCAGGCAGTCGGGATGTCATCTGAGACATTGTCAAACAGTTTAGAATTCTCCTTAACCACCGTGTCATCTTTAAGCAACACGGGGAATAAAATCTGGATAGGATAGGATAGGATAGGATAGGATGGGATGGGATGGGATGGGATAGAGAATAGAATAGAATAGAAAAAAATATAGAATAGAAAAGAGAATAGAATAGAATAGAACATAGAATAGAATAGAATAGAGAAAAGAATAGAATAGAACATAGAATAGAATATAGAATGAAATAGAAATAGAAATAGAAATAGAAATAGAAATAGAAATAATAGAATGGAATAAAATATAGAATAGAATAGAGAAAAGAATAGAATAGAACATAGAATAGAATAGAATATAGAATAGAATAGAATAGAAATAGAAATAGAAATAATAGAAATAGAAATAGAAATAATAGAAATAGAAATAGAAATA